CTCTTATCTCTGGGCTCTGGGGGATTTTCCCTGGCTGTTTCCCATACCTAGGGTACTCTCCCCCACTCAACTCCACCTCTTGGCTTCCCTGGCTTCCTTCAAGTCCCAACTAAAATGCTGCTGCTGAGGTTTAGAGTTGGGAGAGCTGATTCAGGTGTTTAAGAATTCACTTAAACCTTCTCTGTAACCATTGGTAGTTTTATTGATGCAAAAGCAGCAGATTAGTCCTGGAAAGAGGGCTGGCAATTTACAGAGGGATATGGGTCTGTTTTATCTTACAAGATAAGGGGAGGGGTTGTCATGATGTTGAAGTTTAGGGGTGTTGGGACCCCAAAATTACAACATGTGGGTCCTCTCCAAAATAATTCAACACAAGCCTTCTTTCGGCCAAAGACAAGGTTTATTAGAACAGCCTGTCATACTGGTCAGACTCTTAAGGTGTCTGAACATTAGTGAGTATTGGAAATATGCTTGACACCAAAAATTTAGTATCAGGAAAGTTTATTACAGAGGAAGTCCAGAGGATTTAGATGTTTCTGACCAGAAGTGGGCTCCACCCCTCTTCAGGAAGGGTGGGCCCTGAGTGCAAGGGCAAGTGTGCTTTTATGCAGTTAAATTCGGCTGGAAACCTCCCAGGCTTGGATTGGTCAGTTCCTTCCAGGTTACTTTTGTTCTGGAATGCCCCCTGTTCCCGCCCTATTGTGCCCACAATTGCACTATTGCCCCCCCCCCACCCTGGTTGGGGAAGTTACTATGCCTGAGGTTCACTCTCATTTTGATTTTGGGGTCTTCTTGGAACCATCAGCTTTGGGCTAAGCCCAGGCCCACTTGCAGTGTAACTGCTTCCTTGACTTGTTTTTGTAACTCTCTGCATTATTCTACCTGTGGAAATGTAAGTGGTCTCACTCTAACAGTGAGCTGGTGACTGTGATGGGGTTGGGATCTGGGCCCCAGAAAGGAAAAACCCTGGACTTTCCCACTTGGCCAAATCTCTGGTCTCCTGAGACTATAATCTCATCAACTGGCCTTTCATTGTGGCTACACCCAATATCCCTTCTATTGTTTGACCTCCCTATGGCCCCCGGCCATTTCCCACCCTTAATCCTAGCTAGGCTCCATTCTCCTTTGGCCACTAGGTCCAGGTCCCAGGAGTTCTGTTCACCCCAGCTTACTGGCCACTCCTAGGTCCCTCCCACAGCCTTTCTGTATATACGGTCCACCTTGTCTTCATTAAGATGCTCTTGCTGCCTTTGAATTAAGCTTCAGGTCTACACCCAGTCAATGAAAACTACTTCTACTTTCTTTTTAAATAATTTTATTTTTACTCATTGATTGAACGAGAGCAAGCCATGAAAATCATGGCATTCCTTTTGTCATTATCTTACATTCTCTTAATTTTACATTCTTATATTGTTCATTACTAAACCTATCTCTGTGTAGACCTATTTTTCTTCTACTCAGTTGTCAGAGTCAGCTGACATTCTGGAATCATAAATGGGCAGTGGCAAGACAAAAGTAAAGACAACCAGAGATCGGTGGATGACCTTGGTGTTTCATATGTGCCCAAGCTCTAAGCCCTCACAGCACCTGCTACAGCCACCTTCGTGGTAATCCAAAGAAACAAAAAGACAATCACTGCCTTCCAGGAACTTCTAAAACTTGGACAGACGACACAGAAGAAGCTGGAGCAAGGGGCTATGATGGAGAAGTCCAGGGCACAGTCTGGTGACCAATGAAGAGATGGCTGGCCTGGGCATCCTCTTGAAATACAGATTTTTTCCTGCAGTGAGAACTGGAGCAGTTTAAAAAGCAATCTGAATCTTTGGCTAATTTAGCCAAATCATTTTGGTCAAAAATTTGCAAGCTTTATTTCTTTAGTGGGTGATATAGAAATGCCAACTTTTCCAGGGACAGACACATTTTTAGATGTTCTGTTTCCAAAGTGTATGGTTCTTCCAACTTTTACCAAGTTGTTTTTTGTTGTTCAGTCATCTAGTTGCGTCTGACTGATTCCTCATGGCCCCATTTGGGGTTTTCTTGGCAAAGATACTGGAGCAGTTTGCCATTTCCTTCTCCAGATCATTTTACTGATGACAAGGTTAAGTGACTTGCCCAGGGTCACTCAGCTAGTAAATGTCTAAGGTCAGATTTGAACTCAGGACGATGAGTCTTCCTGACTTCAGGTCTGGCACTCTACCCACTGCACCACCTCACTACCCCTATGGGTCTGTGTTTAAAGATACATTAAGTCCTAAGGCAGTGCTTGATCTTAAAAGCAATTATTCTCTGCTTTAGTGTGGGGTGTATGATCTACTAATCTAATTATCTAGTTAGCAGCTATGCTAAGATTGGTGACCTGCTGCCCAGATCTGCTGCTCACTGCTCAGAAGAGGGTAAGGAAAGTTTAGCAGTCACCTGGGCTCAGCTGTAGGATTAGGTACAAGCTTCCCTTACTATCAGACATACTTGAGGAACTTGGCAGGTGAAACTGGCTTAGTCCCAGAGAAGATAGGTGATTTGAAGTTCTTAAAGGAATGGTTTGATCTGGTATGGTAGAAGGCCAGGAGAATAGAGGTTCTTTCTTAGAGCTCACTGACCATTAGGAACGTGAGTCCATCTCCACCAGCTACAGTAGAGGTCAAGCATTTCTACACAGCCCTTACTACAACCTGGTCACTGCGCTAAATGTTTTATGAATATCTCATTGAGTTCTCACAACAACCTTGATGTGATTATCCTCATTTTACATTTGAGGAAACTGAGGCAGGCAGAGGTGAAGTGGCTTGCTCAAAATCACAGAGAGGCTATTAAAAGCCTGAGGCTGAATTTTAATTTGGGTCTTCCTGACTTTAGGCACACAGCCACTTAGCTGCCTCAGATGTATGTAATAACCTGAGAATGTGCTGACATTGACAGCAGCAGCCACTCTCAGATAGGAGTCTCTGTTGACCAGTTTTGGACAAGCATTTCAAAATGACCAGCAAGATCTTGAATCAATGTCAAGGTCAAGTGTTCCTGGTGGGAATTCTTGTGACCTTGTGTTCACACACTCCATAGTGAAGTGGAGAATTATGCTGATGTTAAGAACAGGCTCTTCCTCAGGACTTTACATATCTTTAAACACTGAACAGACTGATAGAAATGGAAACACCACAAAACAGTGAAAAATACCAAACTTCACTTAGTGAGCTTGGAATCTTTGAACTGAGAGCCATAGGATTTAGGAAATTCCCAGGGCAGTTGAGAGCGAAGTTGTTCATTTTTCCAGTTGTATCCAACTCTTTATGGTCCTATTTGGGGATTTCTTAGAGTGGTTTGGCATTTCCTTCTCCAGCTCATTTTACAGATGACAAAACTAAAACAGACAGGGTCAAGTGACTTGCCCAGGATTACACAGATAGTAAGTGTCTGAGATCAGATTCTAACTCAGAAAGTTGAGTCTTCCTGACTTCAGATCTGGTACTCTAATCCATTACGTCATCTAGCTGTCCCCTACTCATAGACTGGTTCGCTAATCTGAGGTAACCTGCCAGTAGATCTGCTTACCCAGAAGAGGGTAAGGAAAGTTTACCTGTCACCTGGGTTCAACTATGGGGTTAGGTACAATCTCCTTTGTTAGCAGACATACTTGAAGAATTCGGCGGCTAAAAATGCTTTACTCCCAGAGCAGATAGTTGTTATGAGAAGGGTTTAAGCTAGCATAATGGAAATTATACCCATTTTAACACAAAAGGTTAAGTGTGGCCACTGACATAGACATGAACAGATATACACAAATACTCCCTTCCTGTGTCTGACAGACTGGCTTTCTTCTCAGTCAGATTCTATGAGAGTAATCAGAAGCCCCAAATTCGTCTTATAAAGGTTGAAAAGGTCCCTTGCATCTAGCACTTAGTGAGCCACGGTGGGCTTGGTGCTGATTTCTGCGAGGCTTGGACATTTGAGTCTGAAATACCACCATTAAACTGTTGAAGAAAAAATATTCATACTAATCCAGTACTCTGTGACTTAGACTCGAGTCTGCCAGAAAGTTCTATGTAACTTAATATTATATTCAAGCCATTTCTAGCTTGGAAATTATCCTTCATGCCTTCCAACCAGACTGCCTGCTCCAAGAAGGTTCCAGGTAATATCTATAAGAACCTGGAACAACCAGGGTCCAGAACTGAGCAACTCTATTTCTACCCCTTTCTTCCTGGACTCTTCTAGAAGAATCAATGGAGTTCCCCTCACAGATTTAGATATAGAATTGCTGTTCATCCTTTGTTCTCTAAGAGGACTGATGACATCAGGAAGGTGATGTCTTGACTTGCAAGTGAATTGGATTTGAGTGAGGCAGACCAGTACAGAGCCATCAGCCTCACTCTCTCCTCCAGGGTCAAGAGAATCCAGTAGTAAGACAAAAGTCAAGGTGACTGGAGATGGCCCAGCTATATATAGAATAGGAAACAGTTCCAGTGACTCTCATTGAAAGGAAGAGGATACTTTCCATTGGGTAGCCTCTAGTCTGATCCTTTCAGCAGGATAGAGCCAGGAAATCGCCCTTAGTTGGGTCATTATCTTGGGGTGGGGAAAGGATGTGATGGAGAGGTACAGAAGAGTACATTGGGGCAGGAAATGAAGAGATGGCCGGCCAGGAGCCTGAAAAGGTCTTTAGAGAAAAATAATTCCGACTTTATATAGAGAAACGGGAGGTGGGGGGGGGCGATTAAAATATGCTTCCACACATGGGACTACATTTTGGCTAGGTCTAATTTCTGCTGCTCAGAGGGAGTCAGTGGCCTATAAGTGGAGGAGTTGAAGAAATGAGGAAGTAGGACTGAGTGACTTCCGAGTTCTCTTTGTGTTCTAAGCCTAGAATTTGAATCCAGCTCTGTATGATCGGGTGGCTTCCCGATCATATCACGAGAGCTGTCTTCCAACATGGGTAGGTAGGACTGTGTCTTGGGAGAGGAATAGTAGATTCACTCTCCTTAACTTAGAAAGCAGAAGTAGGAGGGATGGCGAGAAGGGGCCAGGAGGCCGATTTCAGGCCGCACGTTAGGGCCAGCAAAATCTTCTTAATGATGAAAGCCATCCCAAAGTTCAGAGTGAGCATTTACGCACCCAAAACTGTATACAAATCAAGGCGCGATTCAGGGCTCCTCCCCTCCCCCGGGAGTTGCAGGCGGAGGCGGGCTGACCACCTGTCCAGGATAGCCTAGGGGGTTGTGTGCCCCGGGCTCCTGGCCTGGATTTGGGCACTAGGACTAAGGTGTCAGCCGCTGGAGGCGGTGGGGTGAGGGGCGGGGCTGGACGAGGCGGGGACCAGTGTCACTCAGCCCACCACGCCCACCCCAGACCCCGCCCCCTGGGCGGGGCCGCCGTTCCTCCCCTCCTGTTGTTGGGTTTCCCTCGCGCCTCTGCTGCTGCTGCCGCCCGAACATGGCTGCGCGGGTGGGCAGCATCTCGGCGAGCGCGCTCCGCCGCCTGCCCCTCCAGGGGCCCCGGCCCCGGCCACCCCGCCGGAGCTGCACCTGGGGCCGGGCCGAGGTGAGCGCGGGCTCGGGGCTTCCTGCGGCCCCGCCCGAGGGGGCCACGCGTGGGGCTCCTGCTGACTCAGGGGGTGCCTGGGCTGGGCTGGGAGAACGGGAAGCGGAGAGGGGGAGGGGCGGAGGCCCCCCCCAGGGTGGAAGGAAGGTGCGGGGCAGAGGGGCTGCACTTGGCGGGGGAGGCCGGGGTGGTGGGGGAAGGGCAGGGTCCACAATGGGAAGGTGGGGCGGGGGAGGGGCAGGGCCCGGAGGAATGGGGTGAGGAGCTGGGCTTGGGATGGGAGGTCGGTCAGTGCCCACAATGGGAGGATGGGGGCGGGGGGGAGGCAGGACCCGGAGGGATGGGTCGAGGGGCCAGGTTTGGTGTGGGAGGTTGGTCTGTGCCTACGATGGGAGGATGGGAGGAGGGCTGGACCCGGAGAGATGGACCGAGGGGAAAGGTTGGTCGGTGCCCACAATGGCAGGATGGGGGGCGGGGGGTGGGGAGGCTGCTCTGGGACAAGGGAGAGAGGGCAAGGGTGCGGAGGGAGAGAAGAAAAGAGATAGGACTCGGAGCGTGGTGGGGAAGAAAGGGAAGGTCTAAGGCAAGATAAGGGGGAAGGACGGTGCCCACAATAGGATGGGGGAGGGGCAGAAGCTACCCGGTGGAAGAGGTAAGGGCCTGGGATGGGGCTGAGCCTGGAGGGGGGAGGGGTCGGAATGGAGAGAAGAGGGAGGTTGGGAGGGGACGTCGCTGGGATGGGGACAAGGGAAGGGGAGGGCCAGGACTTCTCTGGGGATGGGGGAGGGGCGGATACTAGGGCTGGGGTGGGGGGAGGGGCTGGACTGGAGCTGTCCCTGGGTGGGAGGTTAGCCGTATTTGAGGGGAGCTGAGGAGGTTTGTGCCCAGAACTTCCCTGAAAGGGAGGGGTGGAGTGGGAAGGGAGGGCTCTCCTACTAGGCCGGAGGCCAATCGGGAGGAGGGAGAAGGTGTCCTATTGTGCTGCTCTCCAGAGGGGCATTGTTGGGTGATTCAAAGCTAAGAAAGGGTCCTTGCCTGTGTGCCTTGGTGGAAGGGGTGGGGGAGGAGCAGGGCGAGACTTGAGGCTGGTGAATGAATGCTGCTGGTTCTTTGTGCACACACAGTGCCTTGCAGCAGGCTAAAGTGGACCATGCAGTGAATCCTCTGTCCCAGTAAGCACCTCGGTTTCCCATGTGTTAGAGGAAAGGGGGGCTCACTGGCTCACCTGAGCCTCGGAGCTGGAAGGGACTTTAGAGATGGGCCATGGGTAAGGAAGCCCCAAAGACCTCTTCCTTTTCTCTGGCTGAAGGTCACACCTGGTCTGATCCCTTAGCTAAAGAAGAGAAAATGGAACCCTTGGTAGCCTTGACAACTAGAAGGCCCCTTAGAGGCCATCTAGTTCAAGGCCCCCCTCCCCCCATTTTTCAGGTGGAGAAACTGAAGCCTAGAAAGAAGTGACTTTACTCAGGGTTATACAGGCGGGGAGCAGCAACAGACTCTGGATTCAGCTCTCACCTTTGCTCCAAGCATATGAAGGCCCCGGAAAGAAAGAATCAGGTGTAGGCGAGAGAGCAAACTACTGGAGACTGATGGTTAGGAGGCCTGGGTGCACTCCCTAGCTGGGTGCTCCAGGCGGCAGTTCCTTCCCTTCTCTGGGTATCAGTTTCTTCTTTTGTAAAAATAAGTAGTTAGACTCATTTGGTCCAGCTTCAATTCCCAATGATCTTACTTTGTTGTTATCGTTTTTGTTTTAGTGAGAGACTAGTCTAGGTGTTCTTAACCTGAGTTTAAGATTTCAGGGGGTTCGGGAATTTGAATGGGGGGGAAAAAGCCATCTTTATTTTCACTAACTTCTAACCTTTGAATCTCTGTATTTAAAAGAACGTTATGCTAAGAATGAGTCCTGATATAAAAGAGGTTAAGAGCCCCTAATCTACTCCAAATCCCCACCCCCATCTCACAGAGGAGAAAACTAAGGCTGAGACTTGCTGATGTCATATACTTGTAGAACTGGAATTCAAAGTCTGTTCTATCCCTTGGGCATGTTTACCCTTGAGAAGACTGGAAGGACATGAGAGCTGTCCCCCAGGATTCCAAGGGCTGTCGTGGCCTGGAGGAATCCGCCTTGTCCTATATGGCCCCAGAGGACAGAATCAAGAGCAATGACTAAAACTGACAGAGAGGCAGACTTAGGCTCAATGCTCTGGTCATTAGAACGGCCGATCGTCCTGCCTTAAGAGGTTGTGAGCTCCCCATCCTTGGAAGTCTTCAAGCAGAGGCTGGACAAGCACTTGCTAGAGGTCTGAGTTGGGCTCCATGTTCCTTCTGTCCCACCCCTCATGTTGTGTGATTCATGCCCCTCCCCACTGAACCACGCATTGTAACCCAGTGCCAGCACTTAACCACAAATGCCGTAGTATCTTTGTCTTTTAAAGTTTGTGTCCTTTCTCTCTAAACAGATTGCAAGACTGTACCTTAGATGGCCACGTTATAGGCATGCACTGAGTGTGTCCCTGGTTTGGGGGCAGGTCAAAAGCCTTAAGTTTTACCATCCCTGATCATTCAATAAGCATTTATTATCAAAGCAATATCTTCCTATAGGGCCTCCCTTCTGTCCCTTCTTTAATTCCTCTCTATGGTTGCCAAATTGCTATTCCTAAAGGAAAAGTATGACCACCTCGCTAGTCTAGAAATGTCGATAGCTCCCCATTGCCTCTAGGGTAAAATATAGACTTGTTTATTTGTCACGAAAAGGCCTTCACCATTTGGCTTCACCTAGCCTTTCTAGAGTGATTGCCTATCACTCTCATCTGCACACAGTCCAGTCAAACAGTGCTTACTTGTCTAACATTGCATCTTCTGCCTACGCGCCTCTGCAAGGCTGGTCTCCATACCTAGAATATATTTCTTCTTCACCTTTTAAAGCTCCCTGGTCTCTTGGTCCCGCCTCAGGTGCCACTTTCAAGAGGCCTTTCCTGAGTTCTCCAGTTTTTAAGAGCCCCCATGCATACTTATTTTGTCTGTTCTGTCATATGTACCCTGCAGTCTGAGACTCTTAATTTTATATTCATTTCTGCAGTGCTCAGCACACAAAGGGTAGGTACCTGCTCCAGGCCTCTTATTGTTCAGAGGAAGAAACTGAGGCCCAGAAGAGAACAGATTTTCCCAAAGTTCTATAGGTACCAAGTCAGCACAATTCAGCAAATGCTTAAGTGCTTACTATGTGCCAGGCCCTGTGCTAAGCTCTAGGGATGCAAATAGAAGCAAAAAGATGGTTTCTGCCCTCAAGGAGCTTATATTCCATTGGGGAAGGCAACACAGAAAAGGAAGCTGCAGTGCATAGGGGGAGGGAGAAATGATAGGGGGACATGATGGGAAGTCCAGGGGAGTGAAGGATGGTGGGAAATGTAGAGATGACTGGCCCGGGCAGCTTCCTTAAATGGAGCTTCTAGAAGGACCCTTCCTAGTCAGAGGGGCACCAGGTACGTCCTGGAAGGAAAGCTTTCTGGCGCGTGATGGAGAAATCCAGAGGAGTCCAACCTGGAGGCCTCGAAGGAGCCTTGTTTAGCCCTTTTGAGAACTTAAGTTTTTTTAAAATAAGCATTTATTAAGCCCCTACTATGTGTCATGAACTGTACTAAGTGTTTTACAAATATCCATTTGATCCTTACAACAACCCTGTGAAGGAGGTGCTGTCATTATCTCAGTTTTACAATTGAGGAAACTGAGGCAGAGGCAGACAGCAATTAAGTGACTTGCCTAGAGTCACACAGCTAGTCATTGTCAGAGTTGGATTTAAACTCTTCCAGTCTTGGTCTGTTAGTATTGTTCAGAATCTTTGCCTGACTCCTCAAAGCTTCCAGAAAGGGATCAGAGTTAGAACTGTGAATATTATTGGAAGCAGTGTTATCTTCCAAATAAGTTAAAATAGAAGGATCCTGAGGACAGCAGGAACTGGTTTTCCTTTTGTCTTTGTAATCTCAGTGTCTTGGTAATCACAGTTTTCTTTCTTTCTAGTCCCATTGGTGTATGGAACTCTGAAGTCTATCTATACAGGTTGACACCTTGTCAATTTATAGACTTAGAAAGTTATATGGGACACTGAGGCCAAGTGACTTAGCCAAGGTCATGCAGCCACAACCAGTATGTGGCATGGGTGAGACTTGAACCCAGGTCAATGAGGCCAGCTCAGTATTCATTACACCAATAATGTATAATCTCTGCTTAGCACATAGCAGGTGTTTGACAAACACCTGCTGCACTGGATTCAAATCAGAATAAAACTGTATATAAAGACTGAGACTCTGAGGAAAAAAAGTGGCTTGCTGAGAAGAGCACAGGATTTGGAGTCAGAAGACCTGGGTTTGAATCCTGGCCCTGCTACCTTTCTCACAAATGATAACATCATAGCTTTAGAGGCAGCACTTAGTTGCTGTATGGGAAGAGTCTTGAGGCAAGAAGATCAATTAGGAAGTCACTGTCATAGTCCCAGCAAGAAGTGACAAGTGTCTGGACCAGGGTGGTGACTACAGGAGTGGAGAGAAGGAGGTAAGGAGCTTCACAGTAGCAGTGCAGAAGAGCAGATGCCAGGAGCCACGTGCTATCGTAAGGAGAGGTTAAGAAGGTAGAATTTAGGCCTGGAAAACTCTTAGAGATCACCCAGGCCCACCCGCTTCATTAGACAGAAAAGAAAACTGGGCTCCCGAGAGGAGACGGGATTTGCCTAGGAGTAAGTAGTAGAGCAAGGATTTGAACTTGGGACTGGTTCTGAATTCTGGATGGTCTCCTTTCCTCCAGGTTCTTTCCCAAATTATCAGCTTTAGGAAAAGGGTCTAATAGGTTCTAGGATCTGAAAGAGACTTGGAGGACTCATAGCCAAAATGTTACTTTATTTTCAATCAATAACTTATTTTCTTTCCCTCTCACCTCCCTTGCCTTGGAAAAGAAAAAACAAAACAAAAACTCTTGGTGAATATAGATAGCCAGGTAAAAGCACTTCC